GGAAAATGTGTGAAATGTCTTTCTCTCATATTCTCACCAACATGATATGTTAGTTGATTTTTTTTTTATCCTTGCCAATCTGATAAGAAAAAGGATATTTATTATATTTTTAGTTTGTACTTCTTTTTTGCAGGGGGAGGAGGATACTAGGGACTGAACCCAGGGCATTTAGCCACTGAGCCCCATCCCCAGCTGTTTTTATATTTTATTGAGACAGTGTCTCACTGAGTTGTTTACAGCCTTGCTAAATTGCTGAGGCTGGCTTTGAACTCATGATCCTTCTGCCTCAGTCTCCCAAGCTGCTGGGATTACAGATATGTGCCCCAGAGCCCAGTTTGTACTTCTTTTATCATTGAGTGATATTATGGACCTTTTCAGTACATTTAAGAGGTATTTGATTTTCCTTTTCAATGAATTTTTGTTGTTTTTTTTTTCTCATTTCTTTTAAAGAGATGTTCTTTTTCTCATTGTTTTGTAGAACTCCTTTAAAGAAAATTAGCATTTTGTCTAATATAATTCCTGTTTTAACTCTTGTTCTTCATTTGTATTTTGATACTTAAGGAGTAGAAATTTTAAATGTTTACATAGTGAATTTTGGGGGCCTTTTTGGTATAATTTATACCTTCCAGATTTTATTCCATATTTGGACAGGTCTTTCCAGCTCAAAGATTATAAAAAAGATTCTTCTATATTTTCTCTGAATACTACTAAAGCCAAGCTCTTTAAAATATTCCTTGTTCCTTTTTAAAAAGTATGGTAGGTTTGCTTTTTTAATTGTTTTTGTTTTTTTTTTTTTGTTGTTTGTTTTTGGCATCTTTGTGGCTCTAGTCTATAGATTTTTTTTTTTAAGGGCAGCTTAGCAGTGTTATTTAGAAGCTTCGTGAGTACCTTGATACATAACTTACTAGTCTGAGAATTTGTACTCAATTTGGCTAACTGTGATTTCTGAGAAGTTCTTTGCTCATTAGAATTATTGTATTCTAATTTGTTTAAACCTGTTTCACCATATTTTCCAGAGTAAAGCTCATCTTTTTGATAACATATGCAGAAGCAAAATAGAAATTTACTTACCTATTTTTGCTTTGATTCTACTTTCTGCTCAAATTTTTATTTGCTTTGGGGTCTTCATGGACATGTCTGTATCATGTTTTAGGTCTCAAGAATAAAAGAAGTCATTGACTCTTAACCACAGCCAAACTTATTTCCCTTTACTTAGCTTTCTCAAAAATGTTTACTAAGCAGTGACTATATACTTACTTAGCCCTATTATAAGAAGATTGAAACAAAATTTAAGATATGTTCCTTACATTTAATGGGAAAAGGCAAGGGTTTGCATAATAATAATGCTAGGTATAGCTCAAGAATTTTGTTCAAAATACTTTTGTTTGCAAGCATACTTGGATTGTGCTTGAGTAAAATGCCCAGAAGTTTGAAAGAACTTTTTCTTATCGGCAGTTCATTTTTATAAGATGCAGTGGTGAATAGGATTCTCAGAACTGGACATATACAAGAAGACTAGGACTTATTTGTATAAGGTCCAAGAGTTCTAAAGTGTCAGTAATGACATGTTTTTCCAACCACTTGTGACAGGTGAAATATATTTTTATTGAGTTCTGGTAGCTTTCTAATAATGCTCTTTCTTAAAGGAAACAAGACTCATTTAGTCAAATAGCATATTGTTTATTTGCCCCTCCAGTCAGTTTTTAGTATTTCCCTTTGTTCTTTTTAGTTTCATTAGTTAAGTTCAAGTTGTAAGGCGTAACTCTTGAAATCTACTGACTTTCAGGTGAACTAGAGGTCCCAAGTTTTTCACAGCCTTTCAGAAGTTTAAAAACTATAAGTTAGGAGGCTGGGGTTGTAGCTAAGTGGTAGATTGCTTAACTAGCATGTGTGAAGCACTGGTTCAACCCTAAGCACCAAATAAATAAATAAATAACATTATTGTGTTCATCCACAACTAAAAATAATTTTTTTAAAATTTTTTAAACTACATGTTAGTAATTATGGACCTATACTTACTTTCTTGAGAAAAGTAAAATGATTGAATACAATTATATTTCAGAAATTGGATTTCCATATTAATATGACTATAGCTGTAATTTCACTTTTCTCTGAGAATTTATTTTCCAGTGAGATTCTTTTTACCATAAAATAATATGTGAGATTGATGTGAAAAATATTTAGGCATATGTGAGTTTGCTTATGGCACAATTCTTCTCTCCTATTTTATTTCCTCTTTTACTCTGACCATTAGTCCTTTCCACATTCCTATCTATCTTCACCCAAAAGGAGGTGAGTAGTAGGTAGATGCACATAGAAAGAAAGGGAAGAGATATCTGTGACAGTGATCATTTCTTTCCTGAAGTGTTGAATACTATCAACGTCAAAATAGTGACCATGTGATGGTCATATAACATGGGATTATATAGAAAATATGTTAACATGGTGCCTGAAAGTAGCAGGCCAGTCTTCAACCATTTCCTGGAGAAACAAATACTCTCTTTTTTTTTTTTTTTATTTCTCATACATGACAATAGTGGAATGCATTACATTCGTAATTATCCATTCACAGCACAATTTTTCATAACTCTCTATATAAAGTATGTTGGGCTGGGGATATAGCTCAGTTGGTAGAGTGCTTGCCTCATATAAAGTATGTTCACGCCAAATTATGCCTAAATTGTGGTAGAAAGGTGTATTAAGAATTATAATACAAAAAAAAAATCAACAAGTGCTCTTTATTGCACTTCCTTAGAGCAAAAGAGTGAAAGTCAGAGGGGGTAGTAATCTGAGCCATAGGAGTATCAGATAACTCAGAGAGAGAGATAAGTTAGAACAAAAGTAACAACACACCTATGCTAAAGAACCATGCTAAGAAGCAACAAATAAACTAGCAGCCTGTGAGAACATGTCTTATACATTTAAGTGAGCAAGAATTATACATCATCTATGGGAATGAATTATTTACTACAAAATAATGTTCGAGTGGCTCTCTGTATAGTAATCGTCAAATAAGCTTCAACAGGTAAGATATAGTATTACATACCTATATCTGCCATTTACCAGGAATGTGAACTCAAGCAAATCCTGTCACCTACTTTTGCATCATTGTCTTCATTTATAGAGTGAAGTTTTGAATAACTACCTGCTTTTGTGAACACACAAATACATCACATAAACATACAGAGTACATGGGGTGTAGCACTTGGTGCACACAAACACAAACCTCAGTACATATTAAAGTTCTTTCCTCCAATATTTTTAAGCTTTCTTCTTATAATACCATAATAATATCTGAATATTATAATTGTAGCTTTTTTGTAAGAAGTAACTAATTATGTAGATTAATTTACTTGCAGTGGTGATAATCATTCTGTAATATGTGTTGGGTATCTTCATCATCCTTTTCTTATCTGGTGTGTATTATACTTTTCACAAAATTACAAATTATATCCATCCTCATTGTGGGATTTTCTAGTCTTTAATTTTTTCTTATCTAAATCTAATAGAAAATTTTTCCTCCATTTAAATTACATTTGGCCTTTTGACATTTTTCCTTTTGTTTAATAACAGTTTTTTTTTCTTTATCAGTCTATTTCATATGATTTTTAAAATTTCCTTTCCTGAGGTCTTTCTTAAAATGTTGCTTAGTATATAATCCCTTCTTCTAATTAAGAAATCATTTCACCATATGTAATGGTGCACACTTGTAATCTCAACTACTCAGGAAGCTGAGATAAAGTGTTGCTTCAGCCCTGGATTTTGGTGGCAGCCTGAGCAACATAACAAGATACCTGTCTCTTAAAATAATAACTTATACTTACTTCACTCATGTGAATTACCTAGGAAAAAGTTTAAACAAAAAGTTCATCTTTAAAAATTAGAATATTGTTTTTGAACTCTAAAGGAACCATTTTGTGTGGTGGCAGATATAATAATATGTGAAGTATTACAGGAAACTAATAAAGTTTAGTTAATGCGGTCACCATTTGAAATTTGGATTTTTCCTCAGCACTTATAGAGATGAATGGGAAAATGTAAGATTTGTCATCTTACATGATTTTACTTAAAAATTAAATCTTAATAATTATGCTTTTCCATCTTCAACATCAGAAAGCACCTATTTGTCAGAAAAGCAAAAACTATTTATCAGCAAAGGTGCAGCCTGCTTTGTGTTCATTCTCAGTTTGAATTTAAAACTGCTTTACTTCCGCTATCTAAGGATAATGCTATTATGGTTCAGAGTGTATTTTCTGAGGATAAGATGGTGATATTTTTTAACAAAAACAAAACTTAAGATTAGAGACAGGAAGGTTCATTCTCCTAATTAAATATGAGGTCTTTCAAAGTCCAATTACTCTAAATTGACTTTTTTCTTTCTCTAAATGAACTGGTTTTCTTTCTTTCTATCAATCTATGTATTTATTTTTGACATTGCTGAGGCTCAAACCCAGAGTCTTGTGCATGCTAAAGACAGGTACTCCATTACTGAGATACATTCCCAGCCTGAATTTTCAAAATAGAAAATTAATAACTTTAAGATTCTGGAATTTTCAGAATGATATTTATCATTTTTTGAAATGTTAACATATGTGATGGTTACGTTCTTATTCTTTTTGTATGCTTAATCATTGAATAAGAAATAAACAATAGCATTCAGAGTTAGAGCCTTGACTAGAATGTCATAAGGAAATCCTGTTAGTGGGTAGGAGCATAACATGGTTTTTAGTAGTCATGTTTTTTCAGGGGTAGTCATAAAAATGAGTTTTTTATGACCTATAGGATAGGAATGGAGGCCAACGTTTATTATACTGCCTGGTATATTTACTTTAAAATTCAAATATTTCTACTGATAGAAATATTAAAATAGGTTTCAGTGAATCAAACCTCCAAGTATTATCTTTTAAAACTATGAAAAATAAATAAATGAAGAAGTAAACTATGGTCTGGAGCAAATGAAATAAAAGTACCATTACCTTAATAAACTGTTGTCTTCTCAGGCTCATGAGAGGCTTGAAGATTCAAAACTAGAAGCTGTCAGTGATAATAACTTGGAATTAGTTAATGAAATTCTTGAAGATATCACTCCCCTAATAAATGTGGATGAAAATGTGGCAGAACTGGTTGGTATACTCAAAGAGCCTCACTTCCAGGTAACCTTTCCCTACAGCTCTTCTCCCCAATGTTCCTGAAGTTCCTTAGTAGTTCATTTCCAGTTTTAAGTGATTTTTTTTTTCCTTTGGAGAATTACTTGAGGCTGTTTTTTATAAGTATATAAATTCCAATTTAGATATTTTAATATTCTGATATGCTGAAAATACATAAATACACAGATATAACTGTACATACTGTATAAATTTACAGAAATACATCACCATGGATTTTCCTGTGTGCAGTTAAAGAAAACAACATCCCTTTTCTAACATCAGGTATCATGCTAGCAAAATTTTCCTCACCATGAGAATGTAATTTTTTTCTTCTTTACTGCCACTTTGTTTCCCATTACTCTTTGGGGTCAATGATGAACATTTTTTAGTATTGCTTCTCAAGACTGGGGTACAGTTGATGATATGAAACAAAGGAGAGCTAAGGGTAGAAACTATTACCAAACATATTTATTCCATAGAGAAATAAGTACAGTTTAAAGTTTGGTCAGTAAATGAGTTAATCATTTTCACCAAGAAGAATCTCCTTCATCAAATGACAAAAAGATTTCTTTTAAAAAACCTGAATTAATCAGGATAGTGTGATATTGGGGAGTGTTAGGAAAATAAATGAATTGAAGAGAATGAAAACCCCAGAAATACATTCAGTCATATATGGTAACATGTTTTATGACAGACATTACTTTTTCATGGAGAAAGGGTAGTACTAAGATGGAAGAATGTCACGTTTTCCATTGCAAATTCCATTGCAAATTTCACGTTTTCCATTGCAAAATCAAATAGTAACACCCCTTTGCTTTTTCTCAACGTCTTTATGTGACTCTACAATAAATATGAAGATAACAGTGGGATGGTTCCTACATCAATCAGCATCTTTGGTACAAAAGCCGCAGAGACACATCAGGCACACATTTTATGCAGGGACTAGTTGATTGTGTCCTTATAAGGAATGCTAAGGTATTTAGGTTTTATCCTGGAGACAGTCAGAATCCTAGTGGAGAGAAGGGTATTGTACATATGAGTTTCCAACCTAAATCTGTGTGTGACTTCTGTCTGTCAACCCCTTTCCCTCTTATGATGTTGACCTACTGAAGAGTCCAAGCCACTGTCATGTAGAGTGTGGCACTTCCAGGATTTGTCTGGCTGCTGCCCTGCTGGGTTATTCAGTTATCAGTTCTATTTCCTATTACCAGAAGTTCTAGCTAAAAGGTTTCTGATTCAAATCCATGATTTAGAACTACAGTTCATCTTAAGTGATTTGCAACATGAATTAGACTGTCAGAAGAAGTAGAATACCTGATTGCCGCCCCCCCCCCACATTGTTGATTTGGTTCCTGAGTAAAGATGATAGTCTATTGTTTTCTACAAAATCTCCCCATGAAGTAATCTAGTCTATTATTATTCTGACGTTATATAAATGCTAGTTCCTATCAACCATTTACCTTCTAGAGAACATAAATTAATAATTCTTGCCTAGATCAATATTTTCATTAGTGGTTACAATATGACTTTTTTTTTTTCAAATTCTTGTTCTATTTTTATTAGCTGTGTTCTTTGATAAATGTAGAGCTTCTCATCAGAGGGGCTGTTACCCTATAATGGATTTCCTCCTGGAAAAGCAGAGAAATGCTAGATCCTTCTCTTTACCTATTTTCAAAGCAAAGACTTGTTTAAAATAGCATTTTCTTATGATAACAACTTAGTTTCATATGATAACAACTTAGTTTTTTAGTCTTTTTTGTGTTTTAAATAACATTGTGTACTTATTCAGTGTTTCAAGTATAATTACTCTTTGATTTTCAAATTGTCATGACTTTAGCCATGTGGACAGATTTTTAGTACATTAATCTGAAACATATGAGAGTTCTGAACTAGAATATAGGGAATTAGGAGTATGTAAGAAGTGGTTCAAGTAACAGAAATGAAAAATACTGCCTGAGAATACAGGGTGGACAACCAAGCAGCCCAGCCTAGAGTTTTGAATAACTTCCAGCATTTATAGGAAGAATTCTTAACATATGCATTTGGGAGTTCCTTTTGAATTTTTTTTCTCCAGTTTCTTACAAGTGATTTCATGAAATGACTAGAAATTACCGATTAAGCCAATATTCAGATTGGTTTTTTTTGTGAACTTGGTGTTATTTGTTCCCCTCTTCTATTTTGATTTGTTTGAATTTGTTGTCTGTTCACTCAAAATTTTTTTTAAATTTAGCATTATGATGAATATGTGCAACTGTAGTAAAACTTACTCCTTTAGGATAAGGGATTGACAAACATTTTAAATATATAAATATATAAGAAATTCCTAGAATGCTAGATCAAAATCATCCATGATAATAACACAGAGAGGGAATATAATTTTAAAATGCAGTATATGGAGAATCTTTACTAACTCATTTTTCCCTCAAAAATGTCTTTTATAGATTAAACCTTTATTAGTAGCAAAATTTTCTATCTCTGATATAAGGTGCAGATATTTATCTATTTTCTAATTCACATCTTTTTTAATACATTCCATAGGTATAGAAAATATATCAAGTTATTAACTTAGCAACATAAGTGTAAATATTAGGGTCCTTGTCATTTGGGTTTTTATAATACCTAATAAAATAAGAATTAATGATAAATACTAAATTATTTTGATGACCTAGGTTTGGTTTCCAGTGAGCATGTCATTTTAAAAACATGTGACTGAATTCTTTCAATCTCTTCAAGACTAAGACAAGAATATAATACTATTTGATGATGAAAATATTTAAAGCTATTTTATATATTTAAAGCTATTTTTATATTTCTGTAAAAATATTCTATATATATTTGATTCAATTCATGTTTGGGAATTTAATAATGTACGCCTGGGAAATTTTTAGTACACCACTGGGATAATGAACTAACAAATTATTTTTAGTAACTTATTCCATCAGTAGCTAATAACCACAGGCTGTGTTCACTTCTTACAGTCGCTCTTGGAAGCCCATGATATTGTGGCATCAAAGTGTTATGATTCACCTCCGTCAAGCCCAGAAATGAATAATTCTTCTCTCAATAATCAGTTATTACCAGTAGATGCCATTCGTATTCTTGGAATTCACAAGAGAGCTGGAGAGCCATTGGTAAGTAGATAAATCAGTGCCTTCTTAAATCTGAAATGTAAATAAATTGTGACTCAGTCACTACTTTTATCTGTTTTTTTTTCTTTTTCTTAACATAATCTGAAAACTTTTTATTAGTCTTTTTTACCCACATATAAACACACAGCTGACAGTCTCTCAAATTGATCGAGCATATAAAACTAAAAAGAAAAGTTTAACTTAGAATTAGATGTTAGAAGTATGCCAGTAGGTATCAAAGAATTCAAAAGAGAACTACTTCAATTCTTTCTGCCTTTAAAAAAATAATGAACTCAGGTTGCTTACTAATGATAGTATTAAAACATGGCATAAGGTTGGTTATTAAAAATTGAAGCCATTTTTCAAATACCTGTAAGTAGTGAAGTTCACTGTTTCTGCTCTTGTGGATCCTAAGAATAGTGGAATGAAGAAAAGGAAAAGCCAAGAATGAGAATGCACAAATACCCTTTCATATTTCCTTGACCTTCCTTTTATCCTGTGGAATACAGCCTAGATACTAGTATTTGTTTCATTTTTAGGGTTAACCTTACCAAGAAAGTTCTTTTTGATGGGTGCTGTATATTCTTACAATTGCATCTAGCTGAATGGGATTAAAATATTAAGACAGGATTGATCATGGGAAAAGTAAGAACAACTTATATAGCTTTGGAATTATTTCTTATATTCATAAATATTTACCTATTTCTTATTAATAAAATAAAATAAATAGTTATTCTATTTCTTGTTTCTTCTAGGGTGTAACGTTCAGGGTTGAAAATAATGATCTGGTAATTGCCCGAATCCTTCATGGAGGAATGATAGATCGACAAGGTCTGCTTCATGTGGGAGATATCATCAAAGAAGTCAATGGCCATGAGGTTGGAAACAACCCAAAGGAATTACAGGAATTACTGAAAAATATTAGTGGAAGTGTCACCCTAAAAATTTTACCAAGTTATAGAGATACCATTACTCCTCAACAGGTTAGTAATAAAAGTTTTGGTAATGTTAAGAATACCTAATAACCCTGTTAGATATAACCCACCAGTTGCTACCATTTTTGCAAAAGGAAAGAACTGCTTTAATTGTTCTGAATTGACTTATTTTGTCATGGGTGAATTAATGAATTTTTTAAAAACACTATCTTGCTATTATAAAGGAAATAGAAAGTACATTTTTTGTGAACACTGTGAACCTCTGTCCTTACATCTAGGTATCAGAAAAACCATAAATCCATTTAAATATTAATGTACAAACATTTTTGACATGTATTCCAGGCTTTGTATTAAGGCCTTTGAGAGGACGTTATGTATATCACTTCCAGATTAGTGTTCATGTGATAGGCTGAATAAAGAATGAAGCCAAAAAGGAGGATAGATACAGAAGATCTTGGACACTTGGTTTGCAGACATTTGATCTGTATTTTAGTTAAAATAGATATTTGAATAAGGGAATATTTTAACAATCAAGACCAACTAGGTTAACAAGTGGCTACTGTAGTTATTGATGGAGATGATAAAAATGTATGATGAAATTATAAAGAAAGAAAAAGAAAGGAATTGCACAAAAATAGTTGAAAATTATAGTAGTATTGGAATGGAAAAGAGGATTTTCAAACTTAGAAAACAGAAATAGGAAATATTCATCATTTTTTAGATTGATACCTCTAATGTTCAATTTTATTCCAAAAATTTATTATTTGATGTAGGAATGAAATTTTACATTTTCTTGCATAAAATATTGCCAAGGTATCTTCCTTCTTGTTTTTATTTTCCATATAATTCTTCAAAATAATATTTGTTGAATGCCTATTTTAGACTGTTCTCTGGAAAACAGGATGGACTATTTAGTTTTGAGTTCTACCAAATAAATGGAGCTTCTGAAAATAATAGGTTTATAATGAACTTTGATTGAAATGAAAGTGGAGAGCTTAGTTAAAAAAAAAAAGGAATTGTAAAAATAAAATGCATTAGTACTTAGACATCTCATGTTACTGTACTTTTCAGGCTGCCTTTGTTCCTCAACTGGTATATTTCCATTTGTGACAACATGAGACCTGTCTTGCACCTCCATAGATTAGAAGAGTAAAATCTAAGTTTTGCTATTTTTTATTATTTTATGTGCATTGTGATAGGAAGATCCCTTCAAACCCCCTTCCCCCAATGGTCTTAGCTTCAGAATTCCTACAGTTCACCATGTCCACAATGGACTTTACAGGCAAAATAAATTTTTGTGATATTAAGTTTCTATGTAGATTCTGTATCTTTTTAAAAATTTTTTTTATTTGTTCTAATTAGTTATACATGACAGTAGAATGTACTTTGACACATCATACACAAATGGAGTATAACTTCTTATTCTTTTGGTCGTACGTGGTGTTATAAAGATTGTGTAATCATATATGCACTTAGGGTAATAATGTCTGATTCATTCAACTATCTTCACTCCTCCCAAAACCCCTCCCCTCCCTTCACTCCACTCTAAGAAAAAGTACCTCTGTTCTTCCCTAGCACTTCACTCCTCCCAAAACCCCTCCCCTCCCTTCACTCCACTCTAAGAAAAAGTACCTCTGTTCTTCCCTAGCACCCCCCACCTTTATTGTGAATTAGCATCCAAATATCAGAGAAAACATTCAGCCCTTTGGTTCTTTGGGATTAGCTTATTTTGCTTAGCATGATGTTCTCCAGTTCCATCCATTTACCTGAAAATGCCATAATTTCATCCTTCTTTAAGGTTGAGTAAGTTTCCATTGTGTATATATACTACAGGTTCTTTATCCATTCATCTGTTGAAGGGCACCTTAGTTTACTATTGTGAATTGAGCTGCTATAAACATTGATGTGGCTGTGTCACTGTAGTATGCTGATTTTAAGTCCTTTGGGTATAAACCAAGGAATGGGATAACTGGGTCAAATGGTGTTTCCATACCATGTTGTACTGCTTTCCATAGTGGTTTCACCAATTTGCAGTCCCACCAGCAATGTATGAGTATACCTTTTACCCCACATCCTTGCCAACATTTGTTGTAGCTTTTATTCTTGATAGTTGCCATTCTGGCTGGAGTGAGATGGAATCTCAGTGTAGTTTTGATTTGCATAGATTCTGTATTGTGTACACTGAATAGAATGAAATGTGTAGATATTTAGTCTTGACTTAAGTATATTTTCCTATCCCATGCCTTCTGAAACTCTGGCTTTCACTTAGCCTTTAGATCTGGGGGAGGGGATTAAAATGGGGGAGAAGAGGTCCTACAAGCTTGTGAAGCAGACTCAGGCCTATCCGACCGTAAAAATGGAAAGACTATAACATGGAGCATCCCAAAGGAGGACTACAGATGTCCAAAGGGGGGCTTTTGAAAAAACGAACAGGGGAGCTATTACTCATTACATTGGAATAATAGACATAAGTCAGGACTGCCCTGGGCAACCCAGGAGCATCCTGCTAAGAGAAACTATGAGAAAGGAAGGGCATTTAGCCTCCTCAGCTCTGTGTAGTAGCTTTATCATATAGTTCAATAAATTTCCCGTCTCTGGTTTTGTTTTCTGCAGATTAAGTTACCTGCAGTCAACCAAAGTCTTAAAATGTTAATTGGAAAATTGCTGAAATAAAGAACTCATAAGTTTTAGATTGCACACTATTCTGATTAGCATGATGAAATATTGCACTGTCCTATTCTGTTCCAACCAGAGGATGAATAATTCCTTCGTCTAGTGCACCTATGCTGTGTACGCTACCTCTCACCATTCACTTAGTGGCTGAATCTATTACCTGAACACCAGTTGTGGTATCACAAAGCTTGTGTTCCTGCAACCCGTTTTATTTAATAACAACCCCGAAGCACAAGAAAAGTAATGCTGGCAATTCGGATATGCCAATTCAAAAGCCATAAAGTGATTCTTTTGAGTGAAAAAGTGAAACTTTGACTTAATAAAGAAAGGAAAATAATTTGATGCTGAGATCACCAAGATATACATCAAGAACAAATCTTTAAGCTACAAAATTGTGAAGAAAGATTAGTGCAAACTTTGTGTTCTCACCTCAAACAGCAAAAATTACGGCCATGTTGCTTATGAAGTGCTTAGTTGGGATGGAAAAGGCATTGAATTATAGAGTTTGGTGCTATCAGAGATTTCAGGCATCCACTGAGAGATCTGGAATGTGTTCCCATGGGAAAGTGCAGATTCCTATGCTATGGAGTCAGTTGCAGCTCTTCCTCTGGATTTCTGTAAATGTAGATGGAAGCCAGGTGGTCTCCCTGCCATGGTGGTATTTTTCAAAGCACGCCAGTAGATCATCTTTGTCAGAATTATTTGGGATTACTAGCTAATAGTCCAAAATCTGTATGAGACATAAAGATCTCTATTTTTAAATATGAGGACTAGGGTAATCTGGACATTGTAGCCAGTCTGAAGTTCTTCACCTTACATGTAGTTTAGGTTTCTAGAGGCTGTTCATAATTCTGTTTCTTCATTAGGACCAAACTGATAGGAATTCTCTTTTATTCATTGTTTAAGATCAGCATGACCTGAATACCAAAAATATTATAGGGAAAGAAATTACATTAAATTTCATTTAAGAATATACATGTAAAAAATCCCAACAAAATAGTGACAAATAAAATTTAATTGTGCTTAAAGGAGATCATAATATAACCATGTCTACATTGGATATATTGTGAGTATGCTAGCATAGTTTCATATTAGAAAACCCATATATGAAACTAGACACATTAACAAATTAAAACAGAATAATCTCAATAGAGTATTTGATAAAATTCAACACCTATTTTTTCTTAAAGTTTTTTATTTATTTTTATTAGTGAATTGTAGTTATACATAATATTGTGCTTCATTTTGAGATAATGATATAAGCATGGAATATAATTTGTTCCAGTTCAATTCCCCGTATTTCCCTACATCCTCCCGTGTTTCCCTTCCTCTACTCTACTGGTCCTCTATTTATTTATAGATTTTTTTCAATTAGTGCTTTATAGATATACATAAAGGTGAAATTCCCTGCTGTATATTTATATTTGTATTTAGCATAATTTGGTTAATTTCATTCCACCATTCCTCTCTTTTTCTGTCCTTCCTCCCTCCCTATCAACCCTCTGCTTCTCTGATCTCCCTTCTATTTTCATAGGGATTCCCCTACCAGCCACTTTTCCCCCCTTGGTTTGTCTAGATTCTATATATAAAAGAAAACATTCAACCCTTTTCTTTCTGTATGTGGCTTATTTCTCTTAGCATGGTGTTTTCCAATTCTAGCCATTTACCAGCAAATGCCATAAGTCATTCTTCTTTATAGCTGAGTAAATCATGCATATATACCATATTTTCTTTATTCTTTTTTTGATGGGCACTTGGGTTGATCTCATAACTTGACTGTTGTCAGTTGCACTGCTATAACATTGATATGACTATATCACTCTAGTATGCTGATTTTAGTTCTTTTGGCTAAATGCCAAGGAGTGGCAAAGCTGAGTCATATGGTGGTTACATTCCTATTTTTTTTTTTTTGAGGAATATCTTTACTGCTTTCCAGAGTGTTGTACTAATTTTCAGTCCCACCAATAATGTATAAGTGTTCCTTTTCCCCCAACATCCTCGCCAACATTTGTTGTTGCTTGTATTCTTGATAGTTTTCAATTTGACTGGAGTGATATAAAATCTCGATGTACTTGTGATTGGAATGTTGCTAGGAATGTTGAACATCTTTTCATATATTTTTTAGTCATTTGTATTTCTTCTTTTGAGAAGTGTCTGTTTAGTTCTTTTGTTCATTTATCTATTGGGTTGGTATTTTGGAGTTAAATTTTTTGAGTTCTTTAAGTATTATGGATATTAATTCCTGTCAAAGGAGCAGCTGGCAAAAATCTTTCATTCTGCAGGTTCTCTCTTCACACTCTTAATTGTTTCCTTTGCTGTGCAGAAGCTTTTTAATTTGATTCCATCCCATTTATAGATGCTTGGTTTTATTTCTT